CTGCTTCCTTCTATTTCTTTTCTTCCCCCTTGTCCTTCCTTCCTTCCATCCATCCCTCCCTGCCTCCTCCTTCTATTTCTTTCCTCCCCTCCTCTCCCTTCCTAACCCTAACCCCTTTTCTTCCTCCCCTCCCTCCTTCTTCCCTTCTTCCCCCTTCTATTTCTTTTCTTCTCCCTTGTCCTTCCTTCCTTCCTTCCATCCTTCCCTGCCTCCTCCTTCCCTCCTTCCCCCTTCTATTTCTTCCCTTGCTTCCTTGTCCTTCCTCCCTCCCTTCTTCCCCTTCTATTTCTTTCCTTCCCCCTTTTCCTTCCTTCCTTCCTCTCCTCCTCCCTCCCTCCTCCTTCCCTCCTTCCCCCTTCTATTTCTTTCCTTCCCCCCTTGTCCTTCCTTCCTTCCTTCCTTCCTTCCTTCCTTCCTTCCTTCCTTCCTTCCTTCCTGTCTCATGCAAGACAATTTTGTAGCTATGTATGGATATCTTAACTTGCTGTACTTCTATTTTTTTTTCTTGCTAAATTGTACAACAATGAAGCCTTACCAGAAGCAGCTCAGACTATAGAAATGAGGGGGGTTGGGGGGGTTGCAGGGTGGTCTAAAAATGTCCAGCTGACAGGCACGGGTTGCACCCATAATCTCAAGTTTTGGGGGGGCTTCCTGTGGATATTCTTGAGATGGTACCACAAAGTTGGATGTTAATAATAGGGTTTTAGAAGGTACGAATTTTCAAAGAGCAGCATTTAAAATTGTATCTGGGGGACATCAGGATACGGCTTCCTGGCATCCACCAAGTTTGCAGGAGCTGAAATTTGTAAATCTTACTTGGAGACATGTCCCTGCCATCAAGGTATAATTAAACACATGATCAATATTGGTCCAGGACCTTCACGACATTCCCAGAACAGAATTAACTGTTTCTCCAAACCCACCTGAGTTATTGTCCACGTGCAAACGTAGCTTTGATCAGAGTTTGGATCAGCTGCAAAAAAAACTATAGCCAGGGTTAAAACTATGTGTGTTGTGCAAATGCAGAGCCACTCATTCTTTCATCGATCTGGTTACGCATGTTGTGTGAAGCCCTTATCAAGTTAGCCCCTTTGCCTTTTACAGTTTCTTGTCTTGTTTAGCGACAATTCAGAGCTGCTTTTCTTTTGGTTGTGCTGTTCTGACCAAGGCTTCCCGAGAGAGTAACAATCACACGCTGTTCCCAAAAACCTTTTGTTCTATTTCAACGGCTGTGAATTATATGCATTCACAGCCCATAATGACAATTTGTGAATAGTCCAACAGAAGTCTGCCGCTTTCCTTCAGAATAAGGCTGATAAGCACCCACCTTTATCTCCCTTGAAAGGCTGCCAATGACTAAATTGCCAATTAGCTGTACAAGGCCAAACGGAGCACAAAGTCAACATGGAGCTTCAGAGTTTAAATCAACCAGAATGAACAAAGTTGCTTCCTGCAAAGACTCATGTCTCTTTGCTCCTCCTTTATGTCTTATGGGAGGGGCCAATCATCTCCAAGCCTTACCCCCGAGTTGCCCCTTTTGTCTTAACTGTTCTTGCCTTCTGGCAGCTCTGTGCAAGCGCACACTGGGAACAGGCTCCCCCTATTCCTCTGCCTCACTGATGTCAGATTCTGGAGGCTCCGGAGTCTGCATATAATTCTCCGATGGCCCTGTCCCCATCTCTGTGTCGGACGCAGATCCCTCGTCCATGCCCTCCCCTGACTCCAGGACTGGCCCATGTTCCTCCCCACTGTCCGACTCTGCTGCCAGCTCTGTAGGCCGCTACCACATGTGTATGAAGGTTGGCCCGATGGGGTCCTTGCTTGTAAAGGAGGTTCTTTTCCTGGTCTTTGAGATATCTGATGTCTCTTGGGTTTCTCATCTTCTTTCTCCAGAGAACTGACCTTGGATGAGCCCCCTCACACCTGCTGGAGTGGAATATGTGGCTATCCCCAATTGGTGTCCCAGGTCCATGTCATCTCGGCTTCCGGGCTGAAGAACCAAGGCTCTGAAGGTGACAATATTGGTTTCAATCCAACCATGATCAAAGAGAAAGGAAACCAGGAATTTGGTGTCTTATCCTAAGTCAGTGTTTCTCAACTTTCTTGACCTGAAGATGGGTGGACTTCAACTCCCAGAATTCTGAGGAATTCTGGGAGTTGAACTCCTCCCATCTTCAAGTCAGAAGAAGGTTGAGAATTCTGGGAGTTGAAGTCCTTCCATCTTCAAGTTGTT